TTAGCATGTTAAATATGTATAAGGGTATTAACGTACTTTTACGTAATAAAAATGTATATTTTTCCAACTTTACAAGATTAAGTGTACTTTTCAAATTTCCATATAAAATTTATGGTACTTTTCAAAATCCCCCATTTATAATTATGTCTTATTATCCGATGGTTTGTAATAATGATCTTATGAAATCAAATCACTGCTCGGATTCAAATTATAATTACGGTACTTTGATTGACTATCAATATTACATATAACACTCTATCTGAAACAACCTTAAAATTTTTTTGTCACGACCTAAACATACCTTCTTTTTTTCTCTCTTGAAAGAATGGTTTTTTTTTGTCAAATGTTCTTATCGTTCAAAAAAATAATTATCATCATGTTTGTTACGATTAGGTCAACGTTTAACTTATGCTTAGCTTCAGACTTGCTATTCCACTTGTTTGGTGCGTTCCTTCTAATTGTGTGCTAATCAAATTTGTGGTTGACCAATAGGTCCAATACTAACCAAATTTGTATTGTAGATGTAAAATCAACAGAAATGTTTTATCATCTCGAGATATACACATCTACATCTAAACCCAAAAGTTAATTTTTATAAACAAGAAATATAGGTTTATGATTTGGCCATCATTTTGACATTAGATAGATTGTGATTGAGTGATGATGACTTCAACATTATTTTGCTATCAGTGTTTCTTTTTCTTTTTTCATTGCCAACTTGCCCTCAGTATTTAAGTGTATTTAGAAAATATGCTCAATAGTATTCAGTTAATATGAAAATTTAGATAAAAAAGATGAATTTTAAAATAAATAAAATTTCAGTTTATCAGTTGTCCACGAGGACGACAATGATGGAAGCTCTGACAGATTTTGGATCATCTCGTACGAGAACTATCAGACAAGATCTTCTCTCTCACAATCTTTATAACCTTACGTCATATATATACAGAAATACACCCATTTAATTTATACGTACGTGTATATATATATTACACCGATATGCAAATTGTGTATTTGTGTGATTCATTTATTTTGTAGAAGCACCATACGTCATTTCATCAGATGGGCTAAATTATAGTTAGAAGCAACATTTAATGAGAAAAGATTGATACATTTATGAGGCAAAGATTTTGAAAGTTGTGATGATTATTTAACGATAGTTTTAACAAATCTCAAGCAAGGACAGAGATATTGTGTTTAAATGTTAACAGAAGTTTTTTGAAAATTAATACTTTCTCCGTTTTTAAATAATTGTTTTTTTACATTTTTCACACATTTTAAAAAA